TTCAGTTCCCAGGTGCACAACCACACCACCCATCTGTCAGTTGCCATGCTGTGGTGGCAGCTCATATAGAAGAACTAGCAGGACTTATAACTATACACAACTATCTACTGGGGCTTTGGGGGGAAGGAAAAAGGAAGAAGATTGGCACAGATGTTAGCGTTGCGCGAATCTTCCCCTGCAAAAAAAAAAAAAAAAGTTAACATTTGGGAAATCAGAGTACATGGAATTAAAAAAAAATTGGGACCTCTTAGGAGGGAACCCCAGAGCCCTAACTCAGATAGAGGAAAATGGCCACGAGCTCCTGCTTTCTCTAATGCTGTAGTGGGGCTCACAGTTCACAGCTTTCCACTTTCAGTGCCCAAAACAGGCTGACAGCCCTGCGGCCTGAGGGCAGGACGTGAGGTCTCCTGTTCTCCGCCTCTGCCAGCCTGCCCCCTCCTCACTGTGGGCGAAGAGGGGACACGGGGACATTTTTAAGGGCGTTTCTTGAATTCTTCAGCTGTGGGCTTTGGCTGTGAGTCAGCATTCGAGAAAGTTCTTTATGAGCCAAGTTTGAGGCAAAACATCCCAGGGGCAGGACAGTGGCTCACGGCGGGGCTGCAGACTTTCTGTTTTTACAGTAGTTTTAAATTGTACAATAACTACTTGCTCCTTGCAAAAAAAAAGAGATAAAAAACATAAATGATACACAAGCGAAGTATATAAAGTAAAACCCTGTAAGCGTTCTTTTTACTCTGTCCTCAAAGCCACTCCCCTGGGGTATCTGTCAGTCTGGAAAATATAACAACAATGGCCATAATAATAACCACAAACGCACACCTTACTATGTGTGACACTTCTAAGCACCTCCATTATGTTAATACTATTAGTCCTCACACCAACACAATGAGATTCCTTATTACTCCCCTCTTTTCCATATAAGGAAGCTGGGGCCCAGAGAGATTAATAACTGGCCCAAGGTCACACAGCTTTTAAGTGTCTAAGTCAGGATTCCAACTCAGGTGTCAGGCTCCAGAGTCTGTGCTCTTAACCATCACACTATTTTGCCTCTCTGCCATACCTTTTTATATGGACATAGAGATGGATACGAATATATAGATATATTTACAAATATATAGATATATATATACGTATACACACTCATTAAAGGAAGAAAGATCTAGGATCGTGCTATTTGGCCGTTTGCTCTTTTCAGTTAAGAATCATAGCCATCTTTCTGTCTCAGCACATTTTGGACGTCCCTCTTTCTAATGTGCGTAGAGCTTAATTTGTTAACCCAGCCTTCTGTCGATGGACACATGGGTTGTTTCCAAACGGCTACTATTCCAGATAAAGCTGGAACACATTTATGTGACTACTTCTGTGAGCTAGATCCCCAAGCCTAGGGTGTCCAATTTAAGATCCCCTCCCCCCAGAGTGTATGTACATATCCGCTCTCTGATTGTGGGAGGTGGTGACGTGGTGTCCCCTGGCTGTGCAGGGGGCGCTTCTGATGGTCACCTTTCACTACGGACACCGCCCTGTAACGTAAACAGGCACAGGAATTCATTCATCTAGCAGCCCTGGGAAGGTCTTAGAAAGACTCATTATAGGCTCGATGATTTACGGGGAGGAACAGTGAAGATCAACTGCTGGTCCTACTGAGTTTTGTAAGACAATGCCATGCCTTTCACGGATGCAGCTGATCCCAGCTTTAAAAATACAGCTTCTGGGGCCGGCTCCATGGCCAAGTGGTTAAGTTCCTGCGCTCCGCTTCGGCGGCCCAGGTTTCGCTGGTTCGGATCCTGGGCGCAGACGTGGCACCGCTCGTCAAGCCATGCTGAGGCAGCGTCCCACATGCCACAACTAGAAGGACCCACAACTAAAAATATACAACTATGTACTGGGGGGCTTTCGGGAGAAAAAGGAAAAATAAGATCTTAAAATAAAATAATACAGCTTCTCCGGCCTCTCCTGATGCCATTGTTATTTTCCGTCATCTGCTTTCAACTCCTGTATCGACACAACCTCCATTCCCACAACTTTCGGATGCAGTTCCCTGCTCATCATGGTCCCCGGTTTGAGCCATACTTGTCACTGCCCTTGCGCTGTGCCCAGGCCCTTTCCCACCTAAATGATCCTTCCTTCCTTCTTCCAAATATTGAAAAAATATGAATGCGTATCTTCCAGTTCCAGTTCCAGTCCTGCTTCCTCTCTGAGGCTTTCCCGGTGAGCAAAACTGCATCCTCACTGCTGGGCTGTAAATACACCACGGACAGTGGTCGGCTGCAGCACCGGCCCCTGGCATTCAGGTCTTCTCTAGTGAGACTGGAGGCCCCTGGAGGGCAGGCACCGGGCCCTGGCTGGAGCAGAGAGCAATGCTTAGCACAAAGTCAACACACTCGCTGGCACATAGCAGGTGCTTAATAAACGTGGTTCCTTTCTCTCCCTCCATCCTTCTGTTTTGTACTCCTAATCACCTTAGGTAATGCTGCAGGGTTCTGCTTCATTCTGTAGATCCGTACAGCTCAAAACCCACAAAGGAAGATTTGTGGAGGGTACAGAAGCTGGTTTTCATAAACTAAGTTGAGTGTGTTTATCGGTTCAGGTGAGGGATGACTCTGACTTAGGATCCCATGGAAACATCGGGTGGCTGTGCAAGGATGCAGAAGCCCTACTGTGCTTGTGCCGTCACGGGACGGAAGGGGAGTTGGGGGCTGGCGGGCTGCAGAGGTCTTTTGCCTCCACCTAAGCAGTTCAGGGCAGAAGGTTTGAAGTTGCGGACTCAGATCTCTGTGACTCAGCTAATGCAGATGGTGGGGTCCGTGTGATTATGACTCATCTCTTTTGTGCTGTCATATGTATCGGTCAGGATGCAAGTAAGAGGCTGAAAGTATCCCCCCGCTGAGTCATTGGAGAAGAGTGTAGTGAAGATGACAAAGGTGTGGGGAGGGTTTAGGAAACCAAAGAGGGATAATTCAGTACCCCAGGGCTGGCAAAAGAGGGGAGCTGTGACCACCTTGGCCTGAAGGGGCGAGGCAAGGGAATAGGGCCTGAAGCCTGGAGAGGGGCCTGAGAGCTGTCTGGCAGGCACTGGGGCCACCTATGGCCAGGCAGGATGGGAGCTGGGGAGCAGATCCCCCGACCTCACTGTCCCATTAGTGCCTTCTGTTGACTGTGCCTGGCAGGAAGGCAGAGGCCAAGGGGCCTGCTGGTGCCCTTCATCCAGGTCAATCTCCCGGACTTTTTCCAACTTGGGCGTCATGAAGAGACCTCCCTCCCACTTCTCTCCTACACCACTGGGTTTGTGTTACTCACATGGCAGTTCTCATTCCACCTGCTGTAGGGTGATTTGTGAAATGTTTTTCATCGCCTCTGCTAACCTGCAGCCCCTGCTAACTCCCCAGCTTCATCTCCCCAGGCGCCGTTGCCCGGTCTCTGCTGGAGCCTCATTAGGCTTCCTGACTTAGTCATGCTCTTTCTTTCCTCTGTTCCATCGCTTGCCTTTTTCTTCTTCCTTCCTCCCCTCCCCTCCCTCTCCGCTCTCTTTTCCTCCTCCTGATAGTTCACCTACCATTAAATCCATCCTTTTAAAGATTTTCTTTTTCCTTTTTCTCCCCAAAGCCCCCCAGTACATAGTTGTGTATTCTTCGTTGTGGGTCCTTCTAGCTGTGGCAGGTGGGACACCGCCTCAGCGTGGTTTGATGAGCAGTGCCATGTCCGCGCCCAGGATTCGAACCAACGAAACACTGGGCCGCCTACAGCGGAGTGCGCGAACTTAACCACTCGGCCATGGGGCCAGCCCCTAAATCCATCCTTTTAAAGTGCACAAGTCAATGGTTTGTACTATAGTCCAAGTTGTGCAACTCTCCCCACAATCAATTGTAGAGCATTTTCATTTCCTCGACAGAAGCCCTGTACCCGTTAGCAGTCACTCCCCAGTTCCTCAATTCCCCCCAGCCCTAAGCAACCACTAATGTACTTACTATCTCGAAATATTTGTCTCCTGTGGACGTTTCATTTGCATGGGATCACACAGTATTTGTCTGTTTGTGTCTGATTTCTTTCATTTAGCTAACGTCTTTAAGGTTCATCCATGCTATAGCGTGTATCAGTACTTCATTCCTTTTCATGGCTGAATAATAGTCTGCTGTGTGGAAATACTCCATTTTATTCATCCCTTCGTCAGTTGATGGACACTTGGGTTGTTTCCACTTTTTGGCTATTATGGCTAATGCTGCTCTGAACATTTGGGTACAAGTTTTTGTGTGGACATGTATTTTCTATTTTCTTGGGAATGTGCTCTTTCTTCTGCCCTGCTGGGAGGCCTCATCTTATCCTGGCTAGTTCTCTGACATCCTTCATTACTCCACAGGCGTCTGCCTCTCTCTCTGAGGAGCTTTCTCTGACTCCCCCTCTCTGTCATGAGCTGCTCTCCTCTGGGCTCCCATAGCCTCTGTTTACCCAGATTGCATGCTCTACCCATCTCCCTCTTTTGGCCTCTGGGCCCCTCAAGGGTAAGAACCATGTCACTGGATCTGTAACACCTAGAGCGGTGCTTGGCGTGTTTGGCAATGAATGAATGAATGAATGAATGAATGAGAGCAGAGACTGTCCCACAAGTCTGCCTTGAATATGGATCTACGAAATGAATAGACGGAGGTCCTCTTCCTGATTTGGAGGAGGAAAAAGGTAGTATAGCTCCACATTCTCTTTTTTAATCACAGAAGATGCCCATGTAAACATCTAGGTCTGAAAACAGAGATGGGTGTGTGTGTGTGTGTGCAAATGACGTCGAGGGAAGCCTGCTATATGGACAGAGCTTCGGGGCGGGGGCACTAAGACTAGCTTTTGAGGACCCTTTCCTTTAAAATCAGAGCTTCGTATCTAGCAGCTCTACCCCTCCCCCTCCGCCTCCCCAAATACGGGGCTGGCTGTGCAGAGGCCCAAGGCACTGACGTCATCCCCAGTGGCTGTCTGCACGTGCCTACTGACCGACATACAAATCTTTATTTCTGCAGGTTGGTGAAAACCCTGTGTCCTTGGAGAAAGCTGGATCCCGTTTTCCTGACGGGGAGCCCAGAGCTTGAAAGGCCGCAGTTGGCACTTCGAGAAGAAAGCGGAGAATCAAGATGTCGCCTGGAGCAATAGTAGCATCGAGGAATGGGACTGGGGAAGCCCTTTGCATATGCAGCTGCAGAAACAGACACCCCAATGCTATTTACATACAGCTCTATGTATAAAAAAAGAAAATATGAATATTACTACTCAGTGCATGCCTTGTCGAGGACGTGGCCCCTCCCTTTTTTGCACCTTCCCATGTGAACTTTGATATTCTTTCATGTCTGGGGCACCGGAAGAGAGATGCCTACTGTGTACCTAGAAAATTGGCCAAGACTGGTGGGAATTAGCCTCAGAGCCGACCAGCTGCCTGGGGAGGGATGCTGATGGAGGAAGAGGTGAAATTGCCAAAGGCAAAATAGAAAGAGGAAAAAAAAGCGAGAAGGACTGGGGCCGATGTTGTGGGGGCAGTCTGGGATACTTCCATTTCCAAGTCTTCACAAGCCCTAGCCTCTCTCTCTATGCCTTCCTAGATAGATGGCTAGTCCCACTGTCACATCCAGACAAGTGGGATTTTTTTTTCTACCAATCCGGTGTCTTTGGTGCTTTACTTACATTTTGCTGGTGCTAAGTGTGTCCTTGCTGGTGCTGCCGTGGTGTTTTGTTGCCAGACCTGCAAGGCCAGGGGACAAGAAAGATTTCTATTTTGCTGTTTCGGATGCTTTTTTTTAAAAGGATGAGTCGCAAAAGTGCCACTTGGGAGTCTCTTCTCTTTCTCTGTGGGGGCGAATATCCAGAGGTGTTTGGGAGCAGACCTTGGGATCTGGGAGGGAGAAAGGGAGGGGCCAGCAGTGAGTGGCTTGCTGGTGGCGAGGTGGAAAGCTGACCTCATATGGGACTTGTTTGCTGTCTCCTCCACCCCCACAAAAGTATCCTGGGAGTCAGCCCACAGCCTCCCCTGCTCCCCAAGAGGATTTCAGGGTTTAGGTTTTATGGATTAAAGAGCCAAGAAATAGCTACGTTCTGGACAAGGGTGATTTATAAGCTAGGGATGTTGGGGGAGGGAGTGGGTCATTTATATGAAATGCACCAGCATCTCACTAACTGACAGAGGGTCTGATCCCGCCCCCAACCCAGGATAAGCTACTATTTTCAGAAGTTTCTAGAAGGGCTAAAAAAAGATGTGTGCTGGACTGAGGCTTGGCTGCAAAGACTCTTCAGGGAACAATGATTAATTTTTGCTTTCATTTTAAAAGATCCAACAAAAACAGGTATTATTCCTCTGTGCAGGGTATCACACTGCCGTTTTCAAAGCTGAGATGGTGAGGCGCTGGGCTGCCGGTTCAGATGTCATTCGACAAGGCTGGATCTGCTGGTCCCCACCCAGTACCGATGGACTCGGGGTCCGCTGGGCTGGTGAGCAGACAGCCTTCCGGTTCTAAGAAGCCAGCAGAGGGATCAGCCGTTGCTGAGGTTGACATGTGGCTGAAATGGGAATTATTCCTCCTAGGCCTTGCTGAAAATTACCAGATCCTCTAGAATGCAGGACCTTTCACTGCTGCTGCAAGCTGGGAGCTTTCTTTCTTTCTCTCTCTTTTTTTAAACTCATGCCTTATGTTTTCTTAAATAGCCCTTTAAAGAAAAATGCAACCCAGAACCACAGTTGAGGGCAGCACCCCAGCAGACAGCTTGGAACTCAGCAAAGCGAAAAGGAAAGCTTATTTATGGAGAATGTTCCCTTTCATCACTGGAGCCCTCCCCACAGTTATGTTTACGGAGGACGGCGGACGGGTGTGTAGGCAGGGTCTGCAGAGAGCAGCAGGTGACATCCCTGCCCAGCCGCGAACTTAGAGAAGGCACATTAATTAGAATGATATGAAATACAGTCTCTGCTTATGTTTAGTGACTTTCCTAGCCAGACACTAGAGTCTTCCCCGCTCGGCCCATTTTGGGGGAGGGGATTTTCATTCCTATAGGGGTATGCAACCCCAGCTCTCTGCTGCTTTACGGCTGTACCTTCAAGACTGCAGTAAGGACGTGCTGACCACCTAGACACAGGGGAAAGGTAAAAGGTCAGAGCATCCCTTTGTCAACCCTCACTAGCTTAGGACATTTCCACTGGAGGACCCAAACTCCACGTGCTGGGGTTAGTGTTTTGGGCAATTTTGATTTCAATGAAGCCACATCGCTGAGAGAACTGGGCACCCCGACCTCCTCACGGAGATTTACAGCCAAGTCCTTGTACATATTCTCTTGTATTACTAGAAACCGTGTATTTATCTAATCCTGGCTTTTTCTTGCACATCATTAATTTGAGTGCATTTCTCGACTGCCCCGATTTTTGACAAGGGGTTGTTTCTAATGCTTGTTTTTATATGAGATTTGACTTCTTGATGGACATTTGTATTAGGAAATTGAAGCATGATATATGTATATATTGTCTCCACCGTCTCTCCTGTTGCATTACTGGGATTGCATGAGATAGTGGGGTGGTGTTTTTTAAAGACTGTTTCCACCGTGTGCAAAGTGCTGGCACCCTCCCTCCCTGCCTTCCCCCCTTTTCTCTGGCTGCCAAGGAGTCATTGATTTTGATTAGCCTCACTGCAGAGCGTCTGTGAAGAGAGAGAGGGAGGGAGGGAGGCTTTGAAATAAATTTTAAAAAAGACTTCATCTCGGGTTTCAGTAGACAGCAGTGTGAGAGTGAGTGTGTGTGTGTGTGTGTGTGTGTGTGTCCACGCAAAGCAGGGGGAGGCCTCTGAGATCATTGTTTAGGTAGCGCTGCATAATGAGGCAAGGAGCAAGGGGAACGCCTCTTTCCTGATGGTGCTCCTTGCTCTCAGAGGGGGTGGTGGTGGTGGGGGATTGATCCAGGAGCCACAGGGATTGGAGCCTCTTGGGATTTCGACATTCCAAATTAGATCCATTCCCTTCTGGAAGCTTCTCTCCCCTACCCCATCCCCCACAAGAAAATAAGATCTCTTTTCCCCTTTTCAAATTCGGGGTTCCATTTCCTGTTCCCTTTGCCATGGATGTAGCTTGAGTAACAGGTTTCTTTGCGGGGGTGGGGGGGGGTGGGGGGGGGTGGGTGGAGCCCATTCGCCTCTCCGGCTGCTATCCATGGTCCTGAGTCAGGAGCGTCTCCTAGAACCCAATTCTCCTTTCTTCACTCTTTCAGTGGGATACTGGAGACTTCTTTTCCACTTCTTCCAGGGGTCTCATTTCTTAATTCTTTTCTTTTGATGAAAAAATGGTGATTTAAACAATCCTGTCACAGGACAATGGAGCTGTGACTTTGGTTCCACAGTTCATGTTGCTGATCTCATGTACTCCTAGCTCTATCATCACGTTTCTCATAGCGACAAAATATCACTTCCCCTCGCTGGGAAATTGGGGGGAAGTCCTCCTCTAATCCTACACAAGTATCTTTTAGGGACACTGGCTTGCCACTGTGGACTTTCTGAGTGTCCACCTGGTATTAGAAGCTGCAGTGACCAGAATATAGGTTTTGTTCTATTTTGATACCAGTTCCTTTTCTGAATGTCCCTGTAAGTCCCACCTGGGCCAATCAGAGGGTCCGAAGCTGGTTGGGGGGACAGGCTGGACACCCTGGCCTAGTCCCATGGGAGCGGATGGAGGAAGTTGATGGCTCAAGTGGGATTTTAAAGCTTAAACAGAAAGTTTATTTTTAAAATTTTACTTCGCTCATTCAGCACTTATTTACTGAGCACTTACAATGTGCCAGGTTGAAGAATCCCACCTGGGCAGAGTCTTACCGATCGATCGTGGAGGGGAAGGCCTGCTTGGAACCAGATGATGCTAAACGTCCCTTTCCAGTCTGGTTCTCAGTCTTCAACAGGTTTCTCAGGTCATCGCTATGACCCCAAACCTTGCTGGCAGATTATTCTGTAGTATTTATATTTACTGAGCACCCCACTTTCATGAAGGCGATTAAAAAGCCTGTGATCTCAACTCATTCCCAGCATGCCAAGACTGGTTCTTGCTGCTTCGCAGGAATGACAGCTACCAGTGATGGGGGCGCTCGCCACTCTGGAGCACTGTGTTAGGTGCTTGCTGGGTTTTCCCCTCAGTTATTCCTCACGCCCACTCCGACAGTCAGTGCTGTTACTTCCCCTTCACAGTTGAGGAAGCTGAGGCTCAGAGAGGTTATGCAACTTAGCCAGAGGCCACACAACAGTGAAGAGGCTGAGCCAAGATTTGGACCCAGGTCTGCGTGACCCCCAAGCCCATGAGTTGACTGCTCGGCTGCATCAGGTTCCTTCCTGAGCTGGTCCCGTGGCGTTGCTAGTTCAAGGGCAGGCACACGCCTGGGGCCCGGCAGGGAGCAGGGGAGCCCGACTTGGGTCCACTGTAAGGAGCGTGGCACCTGAGGATTCTCCAGTGCAGGCTGGATTGTTTGGTTGGGGATTTGATAGATTCGTTCCCTGCTGTCTGTGTTCCTGGTCTCTGTAATGTCCCTAGGAGGAGCATCTAATTTGCAGACAGGGCCAGTTCACTTACTTCCAAGGACGTGGGAAGCTTTTCTCACCTCCTTCCTGTCCCCTCCTCCACCTGAACCCCCAAGGTCTTTTGCACTGTAAGCGCCCAGGAGCCCGTGTGTGTGAAAGGGATGGCTGTGGGGTGAGCCTCTGGCTCAGCCCGAGAGGCAATAAGCATGGGGACGTCCCGTTCTGGGTTCTCGCCTTGCCGGTCCCTTGTGCTCTTTTGTAAGAGGAATTTCATACCTTGGAGATGCTTCGTACATGTTTGTAATGACTTTATTAAAAAACTGGTGTGTGCTTCCAGCCAAAGGCCTCTTTGTGTTTTCATTTCCTCTTGGAGGGTTGGTCCCCAAAGACTCTGGGGGATCTGGCTGCACACCCTAAATTTCCCTGGGTGGGGGGCACACACTCACCTCCCTCCTCTGTCGTATTCCTGAGAACTCCCCAAGGGTGGGTTGGCCTAAACGGTACCCTTGGGTCGGGGAACAGGTTGGGGGAATTTGCCAACAGTTCAAGGTCAGTGCACAAAAGCACCACTTCTGCACGGCACCGTGTGGATAAGCTAATGAGTCGGCAGACTGAGGTCTCCAACTATGGGCCAACGGGCCACTCTTGGTGGGATGCTTTCTCCTGCACTGACCTGGTCTGAGATGTACCAAGAGGCCCAGTTCTAGTCTCTTCCTAAGAATAGTAGGTGGAGGACAGGTTTCTAGATAACAGAGCCTCTCTTTTTCCTTGGGGACCCATCCCCTTCCCATTCTGAGACCGTGTGACTTAAAGGGGTGGACTCCACCCTCCCACCCACCTCTTCCCCACCATCAGGGCTCAACACCTGACCCAGGCCTGGCCAGCTCTCTGAGTCCCAAAGGCTAAAGTGATTGGTGTGAGGACAAACGAACAAGCGTCAACCTCAGGACCCCTGCCGGAGCTTTGGCAAAGCAGAAGCTCTCTTTGCTGGAGCTGTGAAGCTGGCAGAACATAAGCAGAGCTTCTGGAGGCCATCTTACCACCACATGGGATCTGCCTGCCTGAAAAACCATCTCAAAGGAAAACAGTATTGAGGGATGGAAAAACACGATTCTCATAGCATCACTGGAGCCCCTGAATCCAGCCGTACCTGAAGCCCATGCTGTTACCTGAACCAGATAAAGTTCTTTTATTTAAGCCTATCTGAGTTGGTTTTCAAATAACTGCAACCAAAAAGTTCTGCTTGATGATATTTTTGTGGCTGGCTTCATAATGTTGCCCTGAGAGACTAATTGTCAGTGAAGGCTATTAATTTACATGTTAAATATCCATCATAATCTGGCACCTGGGCAAATCCTTCTCGAGTCTATACATTCTGGGTCCATACAACCTATAGTTAGCCACTGTAGTGGGCACTGGAGATGCCACACGGAGATCCCTTCTGATCCCTTCTCCCAGTGCTGTGTCTCATCCTGCACCTTTGTGCGCTCTGCTGGCACCTGCCACCTCCAGAGGTTTAGGGCCTCCTCAATGGAGACCCTGCGTATCTGAGATTCCCTCCCCCTCACCCCATAGCCAAGGATTGACGGTGGGAGTGGGAGTACAAAAACCTCAGGGTCAGGACAAACTCTGAGATGCAGCTGATGCTTCAGAGCTCCCGAAGGGACAAGCCAAGCTGGGACTCCTCCAAAAGTCGCCCTCTTATTTGGCTTCTTCCCCTTCCCTCTCCTGCTTCCCTCCTTCCCTTACTGGTTTCTCCTGGGAGCGCTTCCTTAATAAATCGCGTGCAACGCAACGGGATCAGCTTTGGGGAGAAACTCACCTCAGAGGACCACCCACCGCAGGAAGTGCTTCTTGGCCTTTGTCCTGACACAGTTCTGCCTGGCTTCAAGAGGAGAGGGGAGACTCAAGACCACGACCATAAGTTTCATTGACAGATGATATTTATTGGCAGAAGGGAACTTAGGGGACATTAAAAACACCAAAGGTGGCTCGGTGTAGCCCAGAGCAAAAGTACTAAGAGATTCCAGGACTCGCTTTCCATTTCCCTTTTCCAGCCCCCAGTCTTGGTGGCCGGGACATGTCCCAATGCTTCGTGCACTCTCCTCTTAGGAAGGTGAGGAACCTGTTTCATCCAGGTCCAAAGCGTGCCCTTTTATTCTCTCCCATTTATTATGCTTGAGATTTCTTACATTAGGGGCCATTTGCAAGGACTTCGCGGAACGTGAGTCAGTGAATCAGAGCAGGAGAGTCTGATCTGAAACTCGATTAATCCTGCTTCTAATACGTGAGCTGCGAGCCAAGATGGGCGAAGGAGAGTGGCTTCGTTCTTCCTTTGAACGGTGGCTCTTGGCTGCTTTTACACTCGTGTTGGGGAATACACGCAGCCTGACGTCTGGGAAACTCTGCACTGGCTGCTGTTCCTCTTTAGAGCAGAAGTTCAATCGTTCCACCCAAAAGAAAGCCTTCAGATGGGACATCCCCCCAGAGAGTTGGGAATGACTAAATAAAACCCTAAATAAACTATCTCACTTTCTCACTTGTCCCCGAGTGTCCCCTACATGAGACACTCTTTATAGCATCAAGGGCATGGCTCGTTATTTGCAGAATGTTAGAATATATATATATATATATATATTTTTTTTTTTTTGTGGCTTGAGTGTAATTGACGAAACCACTGGTGTTTTCACCAGTAATCTACATTGTTAGTTTCCCTGGTTCTAACAGATAATACACTAGGTTTGGTCACCCTGGAGATGGCTACAGGAGGTGAAGTAACTTCCCAAAGTCATGCAGAGTTTGGAATCAGAATTCCAGTCCTGACTCCCAACAGACTGCTCTGTCTGCTCTGTCGCACGCTGGCACCGTAATAAGTCTTCTCCGGCTCCAATTTCTCCTGCCTCTTTGATGGCATCTGCAGGCAGGGAGATCTTTCTGATAAAAACCAGTTGCAGAAGCTCCTGTTGCTTCCCTTCGGTTGTTCCCCAAGGCAGGGAGAACAGAGCAGCCACATCCACCTGTCCCTGTGTCCCTCCGCATCCCCTTTTGACTTGATTATCCAGGCAAGTGGGATTGTAACAGCACGGCCATTGCCATAGTAACAGAGCTTGAAAGACGCCATGCTGCCCTGGAAGGGACGTCTTGCTGGGTACCAGGAAAGAGCCAGGGATGTCAGACAAAGGAAAAGGTCCTGGCTGGATAGCACATAAGGGCAAATGTCCTGAATCTTATTGCGGATGGGGTGGGCGTGGCTGAGAGCGAGGTGGCAGCAAGGCTCCCACCGTTTCTCCTGGGGCGTTCTCACCAATCTGCTCACTAGCCACACAGACTGCTTTCTCTGTAATGCCATTGGCGCTAGCCCATTGTGCTGAGGGTGACAATGAGAGAACAGAGTTGTGAGAGGGGTAGGACAGGCAAGATTCCAGTGGCTTCTAAATGACCACCTGTGCCATCTCCTCCCAGATTTTAAAAGCAGGGAGGGTCTCATGGGTGGAGAAGTTGTTCTGTCGTAGATATTAGTAGCTCTGGTATAGAGATTACAGACACACTGATGGCTACTGTGCTCTATGCTACCACCCCGGCTTGTGGAAAAATCCATAACATGGATCGTCCCTTTTGCTCTGAAGGTTACCAGGGGAGGTGATGGCCATGGGAGCTGCTGACAAGCCTAAGGCTTAAGTGAGGGAGAGGACAAGAACAGGAGGAGGAGGAGAGAAATAAAGATGGGTGTGGAGACCCAGGGATATCTGTGGTTGGACCAAAGCTGGCCTTTCTTGATACCCAAACGTGATGGAGCATCCCAGGCAGAGCCCAGCAAAACAGCAATCTTAAGGACTCAGCCTTTCCATGGCCCAGCCACACCGAGATTTCAGGAGCTCGCGTTCACCGTTAGCATTCTCAGTGCAGTCCAAAAGAACACGCTGTGCACCTGGGCCACTAAGGGGCATCAAAATCACCTCTTGTGCTGTTAAAAAAACCACATCCTGCTGGGTGCCATGCCTGCAGGGGCTGAGTGGCGGGTCAGCACAGTGGTTAAGAGTGCGGGCTCTGAGGTCAGCCAAGCCTGGGGGGAAATTTGGTCCACCATTGCTAGCTGGAAGACCCTGGGAAAGGTACCACATGGAGCTCTGTGCCTCAGCTCCCTCATCTGTAAAATAGAGGAAACAGTATCTGCACCATAGGGCTGCTGTAGGATTCCAGGAGGTCATCCGAGCAGGATGCTCGAGGCCGTGCCTGGCTCACACTAAGTGTGTGGTACACTAGTTATTGCAGGCATAAGGTGGAGCCCAGCATTTGTATTGGGAAAATACTTCACAGTGATTCTACTCTGCAGCCCTGGACCACTGTGGGGAGGCCGTGATCTCTAGGCCCCTCCCCAGTTTGCGGCATCCTCATTAAGGCCGCCAGGAGTTAAAATAACCAACAGGCGGGACTTGTCTATTCTGGTTCCTTGCCTTGGAGGGGAGATGGGAGACCTGTCTGGGCGGAGATCAAGTCTGAGCTGGAGGCTTCCCCATCTGTAGGGGAAGGATGCCCGCACTATGCCAGAGGGCAAGGGAGGAAGGGCAGGTGGGGAGGGCGGGGCCTGGCTTTAGGGAAAGAGGCGGAGAAAGGTGGAGGCAGGAGAGTAAGTGCTCGAGGCTGTCTTCCAGGGAGGCCCCAGAGCTGGAACCCCGTCCTCTCCCAGGGGGGCTGGGAGCTCTGACGCCTCAGTCGTCAGCCCTAATACACCTGGAAGTGGGCCGAAGTGGCCCCGTCCTTCCAGCAGCGCAGCGTATCCACGGCCACCGAGCGGCAGAGCGGGCAGGTGCGCTCCCGGTCCAGCCAGAGGCAGAGACACTCCTCACAGAACACGTGCTGCGGGAACAGCAATCGAGACGGCCGGACGCTTTACCGAGAGTCCGGTACATGCCCACCTCCGCCCCAGGCGCTGGGGACACAGCAGCAAGCAAAACAGACAATTCCTGCCCTCAGGGAGGCTGCAGTCTAGTCGGGGAGACACCTTGCAAAACGAATCTCTAAAATGTAGAGGATGTCAGTGGTAAGGAGTAAGAGGGAAAAGCAGGGAAGGGGGTAGCAAGGGCCTAGGAGGGCTGTGATCTTAAACAGGAGGCCTGGAGTACTTCACTGAGATGCTGGCATTTGGGTAAAACTCGCAGGAGGCCAAGGAATGAGGCTTGATATTATCTGGGAAAAGAGTACGGCAGGGAGTGGGAACAGCATGTGCAAAGGCCCTGAGGCAGGAGTGTGCCTGGTGTGCTGGAGGAACAGCAAGGAGAGTATGGCTGAGACTGGGGGTGGGGGGAGGAGAGGGAGATGAGGTCAGAGAGGTGATGTGGGGGTGCAAATTGTGTAGGGCCTTATGGGCCATTATGAGGACTCTGGCTTTTATTGCGAGAGAAGGAGGGAGCCATGGCAGGGTTTTGAGCAGAGGAGTGACTTGATACGATTTGCATTTTTAAAAGATCCCTTTGGTGGCTGGGTTGAGAACAGACCACAGGGGTCAGGAGAAATGCAGGGAGATTGGAAACATTAATAGGTTCCACAGCTTTCTGGCTACATAACTTGGACAAGCCATTTAACCTCCCTGTGCCTCAGTTTCCTCATCTGTAAAATAGAGATAAGAGTACTCCCCTCAAAGGAAGATTAACTAACATTAAAAGCACTTAGACATGACAATCAAACACACTACATGATTCTTGACTGGATCCTGGATGGGGGCAAAGACCCTATAAGGAGGACATTTTTAAGACAATTGGAGAAATCTGAATATATATTTGAATATTGGCATTTTACATCAACTTTGAATTTCCTGGGTGTGAGAGTGGAATTGTGGGAGAGACTGTCTTTGTTTTGGGAGATGTATGCTGAAATATTTAGGGATGAAAGAATCAAAATGTCAGCAACATTCTCAGCAGGTTCAGGGGGAAGAATTCACATCAAGAAAAGGCAGATTTGGTAAAACATTAACAATTGGTGAATCCAGGTAAAGGATAAAAGGGTGTTCTTTCTACTATCCTTCAGCTTTTCTGTAGCTTTGAAATTTTTCAAAATGAAAAGTTTGGGGAAAATGATAATATAAGAATCTAAACAATGTTTTTTAAAAAAGTAAAAAAAAAAATAAAAATAAAAAAACACTTAGGACAATGCCTGGCAAATAGTAAGTGTTCCATAAGTGTGGGCTATTATTACAGTAATAGTTATTATTACATGATGTCTGTTTATTGTTTATTATCTGTCTCTCCATGCCAGACTTGTAAGCTCCTTGTGAACCCATTCCTAGCATGGTATGCAGTAGGTGCCTAATGGTGGACAGTGTTCTAAAAGAGAACTCCGTGATGCTACAGGGGTATGTAACAGAGGGACTAGTCTGATCTAGGGGTGGTTAAGGAAGGCTTCCTGGAGGCAGCAACACTTGTGTTGAGGCCTGAAGCATGTGTAGGAGTTAACTGGGTGAAAAGAGGGGAGGGCATAGAGCATTCTAGGCTGGAGGGGACAGCAGTGCAGAGCTGAGACGGGAAAGTGTTTGAGGCACTCGAGGACGGCCAATGTGGCCACAGTGAGGTGGGCGTAGGGGAGTGGGGAGAGGAGGTGAGCAGGCCACCAGAGCCTTGAAGGCCATGCCTGATTCTCACCATGGTCTGAAGGGCAGGGCCCAGGGTTTAGCAGGCCCAGCAGCGTCCAGGAGGGCAGGGACTGCGGCTGCGCATTCCCACCGACCCGCCCCGAGCCTGCAGGGTCAGGACTCTGTCAATGCGGCTGACAAATGGATGCCTTCTGGGGGGGGAGGCAGGTGGAGGATGCAGGAGAGACAGGGCTGATTAAGGCCTGGTCCCCGGCCTTCAGCAGCTCAGTCTCCTCCTCAGAGAATCAGGCAGGACAGACTCTGGTGCCAAATTAAGGGACTTGAAGAACAGAGTTTCCACCCAGGGGCCCGGGTGGAGGAGCCCATGACCCTGGACTGCCTCCAGGCCCTGGAAAAGGAGGATCCCCCCAGAGGGAGGTGAAGGAGGGGCCCTTCGGGCTGCGGAGTGTAGGGTCAGGAGGATTTATGGACATGGCCATGGAGGAGACACAGGGTTGTTAACTGTTCCCTGGCTGTGTGTGGGGCACGGAATGGGGCATGGAACCCCTGGGGTGGGATGGGCCATTCCCCACCCCAAGTTCCAAGCAGACTCTCCAGGTCTTGCTCAAAGACCCAGCAGGCTTTCTGAGCCCAACTCCTTCTCTGTAAAATCAGGTTACGATCTCCCGCACGAGGTGTCTGTACGGATGGAAATGGGGAAAGCCTGTCACAAAGCCTCACCATGGGGCACCGGAAGCACAAGACCAACTGGAGTCCCCATTCTCTTGTCCTCTTTCCTTTCCATCGTCACCGCTCAAACAAGCACCCGCGGAGTGACCCAGAACGGAGGACGGTTTGTTCTCTGACACGCTCCGGCTCTCCTCTTTCGCAAGGAGTCCTTTAAAGAAGCCAAGTTTCTGACTTTGTGTCCAAAATGACTTTTCTCTGACCTTCTGTGGCCTGCAGGAGGCACGCCATAAACACCCCAGAGCGACTAACTGGGCAATGACTGTCTGAGCGGAGAGGTCCAACCTCTGGGCATGCTCAGCGTCTGCCTGACGAGCTTCAATCTGGGGGGTGATGGTGGGGGTGGGTATGAGTGACACACTGAGCCTCATTAGATGACCCCTTGAAGGGCAGGTGGGATGTTCCTTTAGCCTAGTGGGCTCCTCATCCCTCCACTCATCCATCTGTCCTTCTGTTCATCTATCCATTGATCCATCCATCCATCTATCCATCCACCCACTCATTCATTCATCCACCCATCCATTCCCCCATCTGCTCACCTATTCACCCACCCATCTGTCCATCCATTTGCCCATCCACCCCAGTCACCCACACACTTATACCTCTATCCACCCACCTCAGCACTCATCCACCCACCCCTCCACCTGGCCACCATCCATCTCCATCCCAACCAACCAGCCATCCATCTCACTCCATTCCTTCCATCTATCCATTCCTTCTGTCCATCCCTCCCTCCCTCCCTCTATCTATCCCATTCCATCCACCCACCCATCCTATTCCATCCATCCATCCATCCTAATCCTTCCTTCCGTCTATCCATTTCTCCCTCCATCCTTCCCTCTCTCCCTCCCTCCATCCTTCTCCATCCATCCATCCATCCATCCATCCTATTCCTCCCATCCATCCATCCGTCCATCCTATTCCTTTCATCCATCCATCCATCCAATATTTACTGAGTCAGTACTGTGACAAGCTAAACAAGACAGACATGGTCACCAGTCTCAAGCTGCTTACAATTTGGCAAACAGGAGACAGACCTTACACAACCAGATGCCCAATCAACTATCCAGCCAACCACTGTGCTAAGTGCTCGGATGGAAGAACACAGGAATCTGTGTGGCTGTGTGGCTGGGAGCAAGCTAGCCTGGGGAAGCAGCATCAGGGAAGCCTCTGCTGAGGAAGTGACATCTGACTCACTCATCCATTTGTTCTTCATTCACTGCATTTAGGAGTCTCGAGGCCCTTTCACCTGGGGAAGTCATCGCTGCCGTTCCAGGCCTGGCTCACAGGAGCAGAGCAGGACTGAGCCACGCGTGAGGCCTGGCCATGCCTGTGGGCTTCAACCACCAGTGGCTGTGGCCCTTGCTTCTAGATCAGGGACAACAGCGTCTTGTCCAACCCCTCCCGAGTTCTAGTCCAGTACCAGGAGAAGGATGGGAGAGAGACAGACAGACTGAGGCTTGGAGAGATTGTCAGGAAGGGAGGAGAAAGACTTTTTTGAGGCCACGTTCAAATAATCAGTGCTCCTGAGCAGGAAATGCAGATGGCTCTGAAGCATATGTGAGAAGATGCGCAACCCCGCTCATAATTAGGGAAAAGCAAATTAAAACTGCACGGAGATAGCACTTGTCACCTGCCAGATTGGCAAAGCTCAAAAAAGGCTTGATAACGCAGAGTGTTGGCGAGGGAGGGGAGCCAGAGGCCGTGTCGCGCTCCGTACTGGGAGCGTAAATGGATACACTCTTTATGGAGGGCAATTTAGCAATATCTGTCAAATCTGTACACCCTCTGACCTGGTAATTTCACTGCTAGGAATTTATCCTACCAAGAGCTAGCACGTGTGTGAAACGGAATGCGTGCCAATAAGACCTGATATTAATTGAATCCTAACCGTGTGCCAGGTGTGGTTCTAAAGGCTCCGCTTGAATTAACTCATTTAATTAACACCACGGGCCCAGGTAGGTGCTACAGATCTCCCCACATCTGATCTCTCACGACAGTCACATTGGTCATAACAAAAGATCAGAAGCTCCTAAACGCCCATCAATAGGAGAATGGTTAAATAAATTGTGGTCTATCCACAAAATGGGGTGATATGCAAATAAGGAGAAATCTTTTAAGACAGCGTTTCAAGTCAAAAAGGAAAGATGCAGAATGCAGTTTGGGTAGAGTATGCTACAACTTATGTCTTTTTGAAAAAGACACGTTCACGTGTGCATACATATATATTTAAATTCTATAAATATTTCTGGGAAGATATAACGGAAACTGACAATGGTTGCGTGCGTGGGTACTTAGGGGGCTGGGGACAGGAGACCTGTCACTCTTTCCTTTTTGTATCTTTACAACATTTTTAAAAGCGAACTTTGTATTTTGGAATAATTTGAGACTGACAGAAAAGTTGCAAAGAGAGTAAGGAGGTCCTTGTATACCCCTCACCCAGTTTCAGTTCCCGCTAATGCTATCCTCTCGCATGGCCGTGGGACGTTTGTCAAAGCTAAGAAACCCACACTGATATGTTACTATCAACTAAACTCGAGACTTTATTCAGATTTCATCCAACTAGTTTTTCTCCTCATGTCCTTTCTCTGCTCCAGGACCCAACCCAGGTCCCACACTGCATTTAGCCATCATGACTCCTTAACCTCTTTGGTGAATTTTGAGTTGTGCAAATATGTTCTCAATTTAAAAGTAAATAAAATGAAAAATAAACCTCCTAAAATCCCTAAACAGTCAAAAACCAAGAAATTGGCTGATGCCAAAAAAGGACCCCACCTCCTGTCCTCTCACCCCCGGAAGGTGACTGGGGTGGGGGGAGCCACATGCTCTCTCACACCTTCTCGTCTGCGGGCTCTGCCTCTTCCAGAAAGCCTTCCCAGCTGCAACGCCCTGCTCTCTGTCCCGGTCCCCGGGGACACTGCATGACTCTCTCTTACACAGCACTTCTCACCGCCTGCCTGTTTCACAGTTCTTTATGTATGTGCCTGGCTCCCCAGGGAGACCGTGAGCTTCCAGGGGAGCGGACAGGGTCCGCGTGCCCTCTGCCTCCCCTCCTGGGTGTCTAATAGGATGCTTTGACTCATGCGCATTTGCTGAACTGACATCTTAGCCCTGATGTCGCATGGAGAAGGGACACATTTAGGGCGTTAAAAGGGACTGACTAGTACTTATCACCGTGGGTTGGTGACCCACCACTAATAATGAATACAAATGGTAATAATATGCTGATAATAATAATTAAATCATAGCAACATTTTATGGCTGAATAATTCAAATTCAGCTCTTTCCGGAGACGATCTCATTTCATCACAAGAACAGCCCTGCGAAGTAGGCATTCTTTACGATCCCCATTCTAGAAATGAGAAAAACCTAGGCTCAGGGAGAGGGACCAAGGCACCCAGGGTGCAGAGTGCTGTTGGAGAGTCACACTTGGGATATTGCGACACTATGCCACACTGAATTTTTCCTTTTCTACATTTTACCGATGAAACCGAGGCTCAGAGAGGTGAAGTAACCTGCCCAAGGCCGGCCAGCTAGGAGGCAGAGCTGAGACCGGAACCCGGGTCTGACTGATTCTAGTCTTGTCGACACTGCTCGCGAAGACCCATCCAGAGCCTCGAAGTTAGATCATGGGACATGCACGTGGGGCTCCCGTGTGGCGCGGGCCCCGCGGGCCCCCAGCCTCAGTGTCCGACGGCCCCGCCCAGTCCTGCTCACCTGGCACATGAGGATCAGAGGCTCCCGGAACTCAGCCTGGCAGATGGCACAGATCTCGCCAGCTTCTGTGCACTGCTGCCCGGTGGCGCGGACGCCGTAATTCTGCTTGAGAGAGGGGAGAGCGAAACGCAGCTGTGGACCCTCGCTGGGGCGACACCCTTAGAAACACCGCGAGATCTGGTTCCCGGGAACTCAGCCGGGAGCCTCCGAAGCCAACTCACCTGAGAGGAGCAGAGAAGCTTCAGGGCTTTCCTAACCCCGCCCACACGGCCACAGATGTCGAAGGACTGCAAGGAGAGCGGAGGACGGCTGAGAAGTATCCGAGGCTTGCTCAGGATCACTCTCACCACTCCTGAACAACCCCACTGACCCCCTCGTCTTTAACTGAATATTTTCAGAGCACTTCCTCCCATGTGAGACGCCTCATCCCATCAGTGCTCAGCTTTTGTCTTGCTGCCTTACATCAACAGTCTCCCTGCTATCTGGGCCAGGAGAGAAAATACACGGCATGCATACTGCATTTTCCCCCTCCCAAGCCCAAGGCAGGCATTGCTAATCGATCACAGCACTCTTCTTCTGAGCCCAGTCAGGGCCTGATAATCCTCCTCCATCCAGCACTCCAGTCAGCCATGGCCAGTAGATCAGAATGAGCAGGCCAGCCAAGCCCCAGTGGATGACATTGCATGGATGGCCTGGCTAGTCCTGCTGGAAGGAACGAAAGAGAAGACGTGCATTTCCCCAGGATTCTCTAAGGTCAGAATTAGAGAAGGAAAAAGAAAGAGGAGGATGTATTTATTGTTAGGGTGGAAAACTGATTTGCACTAATGATGAAAAGAGAAGTGCTCCACACTGATCTGTGCAGTTCAGGAGATGTGCAATTTAAGAGGAATAGCAAAGAAATTCAGTGGCAGTGTGGTCTCTGGGTTAAGAGCTCCAGGCTTTGCAGGCAGCCTGTCTGGGTTGGATGCTCGTTCTGTGTTTACTGAGTGACACTGGGCAAGTTACTTCTCTCTGAGCCTCAGTTTCTGAGGTATGTAGCTTGAGGGGTTGCTATGAAGATGTGAAAGGATAGCATATGGTGAGCTTCATAGGCAAGAAATTAGGGTGGATTTAACCATAATAAGGAGTTACAATGCTACAATGTGGATGAACCTTGGAAATATTATGCAAAGTGAAAGAAGCCAGCTTCCAAAGGTCACATACTGTCTGATCCCAATTATATGAAATGTCCAGAGTAGGAAAATCCAGAGAGACAGAAAAACTGGTGATTGCCAGGGGCTGGGGAGAGAGGAGGCGAGGAATGGGGAGAATCCGCTAAATGGGTACAGGGTTGCTTTTGGTGGTGATGAAAATGTCTTGGACAGAGATAGAGACAGTGGTTGAACAACATTGTGAGTCTGCTCAGTGCTGCTGAACTGTCCACCATAAGATGGTTAGTAATTTTGTGTTGTGTGAATTTTACTTCAATTAAAAAGAGAGCTTAGGGTGGTTATTCCAGGCTCTCCAGTTGCCCCCGGGCCCGGCTAGTGGATGTGGTCTTCCTCAGGCCGACCCTCCAGCCTCACAGCCACCTCACCTTGCAGAGGCTGTAGAGAATGATCAGGACCCCTCCTAGGAAGTAGCTGTTGGAGGAGTCATCACCCATGATGTACTTATACCACAGCTGGATGGGGACAAGCGATCGGAACAGCTGGCTCAACTCCTCGATGACCAGATAGAACTTTGCCTGCAACCACACAGAAGGCATCAATTATTATTAGTGATAAAGACCCAAAGGACCCAGCTGTGGGGGGGGGGGGTCCCCAGCCCGAGCAGTAATGACATTCCAGGTCACAGGCAGGCCATTAATCAGCTTGGAAAGCACTCAGCCAGGCTCCTAATGCGCCGGCGAGATGGCCGGGGAGACGCAGCCCCTGCCCGCTGCCCTCACCCGCTGCCCACCAGCCCAGGAGATCCGAGCTCCGAGGATCAGGTTTCCGGCAGGGCGAAACTCTACCCCTCCGGTTGACGGTTGGAGTACGGGTCACTCCCGGTGCCTGCTGTGGCTTTGAGGGCTAAAAGCCAAATGTGGGGCACAGTCCCTGCCCCTGCACACAGGTCACCCTCGTCTCTGGAGGACCGACCCCTGCAGGCATCACAGGCGACCGCCCTCGGGCACAGCAGGATGGACCAGAGGATGCGGGTGAGGGCAAGTCAAGAGGTGGGGAGGGGCATCTGCGCTCTCCTTCCCAGCTCCATTGTCTACCGTCTCCAAGGAGACCGGATGATATCCGGTGAAAGAACAGAGACCTGGGGACTCAGATGGGGCCAGGTTTGAAGCTTATCTTGCCGCATTTCGTGAGCCTCAGTTTCCCCATCTACAGAATAGCAATCACAATTCCTACCTTTCAGGATTGCACTGACTACGCGAGTTAAACAGGAAAGCCCCCAGCATCGTGGCTGGCACAGAGCAGAGCTCAACGAATTCTATTTCCCTTCCTCCCGTTCGCCCTTGGGCGAGTCCCTCAAGCTTTCTGTGGCCTGTGCTATAAAATGGAGATGAAATAACCCCACCCCGTCATGTCTAATAAAGTTAAACACACACTTACTTATGACCAAGCAATTCCACTCCTAGGAAGTACCCGAGAGAAGTGAAAACATATGTCCACTCGGAGGCGCATGTTCACAGCAGCTTTATTCATAACATCCCCGAACTGGGAACCGCCCCAACGTCCATCAGTGGAGGAATGAATAAACAAACGGTGGTATATTTACATAACAGGATACTACTCAGCAATAAACATGGACAAATGGCCAATATGCACAACAAGACGGATGAATCTCACCGATGTGATGTCGAATCAAAGGGGACAGTCATAAAAGACTAAATGCTGTATAATTCTGATTTATATGAAGTCCTGGAAGGGGTAACACTCACCTGGAGCGATAGAAATCAGATGAGGGGTTGCCTGGAGTGAGGAGGGAAGACCAACCGCAAGGGGACATCAAGGAATTTCGGGGAGTGATAGAAATATTTTATATCATAATTGGGAAGATGGTTACATGAATGGATACATTTGCCAAAACTCATTGAAATATATGCTTCAAATCTGTGCATTTTATTGAATTTAAATTAGACCTCAATAAAGATGATTAGAACAAAGAAACCATCCAACATAGAAACAAACAGCCCCGCCCCAGGCATGCATTGCCTAAAAAATGTAAATAATCTTTGCACCAGCAATTCCACTTTTAGGAATTTATCCTAACAAAATAGTAAGGGATGTGCGCCAAGATGGCCGACAGGAATAGTCACTGTAGCCTTCTTCGTAACATAACAAACAAAAGGAACAAACTAAATGTACAAAGAGAGCATCTGACTTTTGTGGTAGCGATCCATAATGGAAAGCCACACAGCCATTCAAATATTATCCTGAAAAATAGCGGCTTCACTTTGATGAAACCCAGCACATCCCACGTTAACCAAGTGATCAAGGTTAACGTCCCCAGCAACAGGTCACACCGACAGCCAGAACGCCGTGATATTATGCACTGAGAAGAACACAGTACCACCTCTGTGGTTTTCTGGTCAAAACCTCATAACCTCAACTGAATCATGAAAACAGAGACAAATCCAAATTGAGGGCCATTCTACCAGATAACCGTCCAGCACTCTTCGAAAGTGTCAAGGTCACGAAAGACAAGGAAAAGACCAAGGAATTGTCAGATGGGAGAGGATTAAGGCGATAAGACAAATAAATGCAACCTGGGATCTCGGGTTCAATGCTGGTTAATGGGACGATTGGCAAAATCTGAACACGGTCTACAGTTTAGTTAATACTAACAGTATCCATGCTAACTTCCTGGCTTTGCTAATTGTAAAACGGTTGTATCAGATGGTAACGTGAGGGGAAGCTGGGTGAAGAGTCGATGGGAACTCTCTGTACTATTTTTGCAACTTTTCTTTTAAGTCTAAAATTATTTCAAAATAAAAAGCTAACAAAGAAGTCATCCTGGCGAAGAATATCGATTGACCCAGGGAAATGCTCATACCATAATTTCAAGTGGAAAAGATGCAGAATGCAGAAATACTCATTTTCTTTGTGTTTTTCTGCCTTTTCCAAGTTTTTTGTACTGAGCATATGTTTAAATTAGAGGGGAAAAAATGGTTTTAAAAATACGTTGTATATCCATCAAAAGGATCACGTGTGGGATATAGATGGAGCCTTTATATTTACATAATAATCTAATATTCTGTCTTTATGGGCTGGGCATGGGTCACTCAGAAGGGGACACCTTCTATCTGTTAAGGACCAAGGAAGGGCATCCGGTCCTCCACTCACCCCAAAGCCTGACCTTTGTGACAGTTTGGCTGTCCCCCCGTTGTGACGTCATCATTTTCCAAGGGACCCCTCCAGACTCCTAGCAGTCTCTGACCCCCAGAAATATTCCCTGGGGGGAAATACGAATTTCCCTCTGGAGCCTGTGGGAAGGTGGAGGTGAGTGGGGAGCAGAGATGTAGGGGCTGGCCACCATGTTTGTTTTACATCCCAATGGTGTGATGGATGCTGGAGCAATGGTGCGGCACCTCAGTGGGTGGCTGGGGCTGCCCAACTCTGTCCACGTCGTCACAGCAGGCCCCAGGCTCCATGTTGTGAGCTTTGTTTTCCTGAACTACCCAACCTCAGCTGCTCCATGCTTCCCTCATTGCTCTCAACTGCTCTCAGCCAGGGTCTCTCAACTATTGCATGTTCCATTCCATTCTAGACCAACAGTCCAGTCTCTCCCAACTTCCAACTTTAACTTGCTTTTGTCGCTCCTCCTTGAATTCAGTGCACCTCCAAAGAACTTTCCTTTCCTCCTTCTCTCCCATCCTACATCCATCCGTGCATCCATCTTTCCTTTCTTCCTCCCCTCCCTCCCTCTTTTTCTCCCATCCATTGATGCTCCCTCCCTCCCCTCCTTCCCTCTCTCTCTTTCTTCCATTACTGGACACCTACTATGTACCAGACACAATGCTAGGCTATGGTGATACTAAGATAACAAAGACCTCGGGGCTGGCCCCGTGGCCGAGTGGTTAAGTTCGCGCGCTCTGCTGCAGGCGGCCCAGTGTTTCGTCGGTTCGAATCCTGGGCGCGGACATGGCACTGCTCGTCAGACCACGCTGAGGCAGCGTCCCACATGCCACAACTAGAGGAACCCACAACGAAGAATACACAACTATGTACCGGGGGGCTTTGGGGAGAAAAAGGAAAAAATAAAATCTTTAAAAAAAAAAAAAAAAAAAGATAACAAAGACCTCACCCTTGTCCTCAGGGAGCTCACTACCCAAGGAGGAAGATAGACACTAAGCAAATTATTACAATCCAGTGTGGTAGAACTCTGCTAGAGGTAAGCGCGACAGGCCCCAGAATTGAGGCACGGGGTACTAGTCGGGGTGGAGGACTAATTAGGTAAGTCTTCTAAGAGAAGGTGTCATCTAGGCTGATCTTAAAAGACTTGCTACTCAAAGTGTGGTCCGTGGACCAACAGCATCAGCATCACCTGGGAGCTTGTAAGAAATTCAAAATCTTAGGCCTCACCCGAGATCTGCTGAATCAGAAGCTGCAACTGAACAATGTTTTTTGCACACATTCAAGCTTGAGAAGCACTATTTTAATGGATAAGGAGGAACCAGGCTGGTGTAGAAAATGAGGGGAGGACGAGGTAGGAAAGGGTGTTCGAGAAGCCCAGAGGTGATGGAAAGGATGGTGAACGGCCCCATGCCGTCTTGGTGGGCAGCCTCCTGCTCAGCCTGCCTGGCCTCATGGCAGGCGAGGACACAGCCCCCTCATGAAAGGTCTCATGTCCCTGTGTCTCTGGGAACCCCTGCAGGCTGGCATCCCGCTGACTCTGGGGACAGTCCCTGCTGTCTCCTCTCAGGCTAACCTTGCACAACCAGCTTGGCTTGGTGGTTAAGGGTGCAGCCTAGGGAGCCAGACAGCCTGGGCTCAAATCCTGTCACCTACCATCTTATTATTACTGCTATTATCTAGCCTTGGTCACTGTCTTTGGATCCCCCAATTCTCAGGCTCCGTTAGCTGTGGGTTGGCTCCCTGGTCCAGACCCCAGGCTTCCCACTTGCCTGCCGAGTGCGTCTAGAACAGGGGCCGGCAATCTCCCTGCAAGGGGCCAGAGAGTGAAGAATTGGCTTTGAGGCCATACAGTGTCCGTCACAACCATTTCCCTCTGCTTCTGTAGCACAAAATCAGCTACAGACAACAGGTAAATGAATGGGCACACTGTGTTCCAATAGAACTTTATTTATAAAAAGAGGTTTTGGACACATTCGATCTGTGGCCCATGGTTTGTCAAGCCCTGGTCTAGAACATCAGAACCTACATGAGTCAAGTCATGATGGGGACTCCAAGACGTCTCCAGAATTTCAGAGCAGGCTCAGGCACTAGCTTCTTGGTCCTTCTTTCAGTTGCTTCCCTACATACACCAAGCTCTTCTTCTGCAGACAGAATTCTGGTCCCCTACTCTTTGCCGAGCTAACACCTGTTTATCTTTTGGGTCTCAGCTAACTGTCACCTCCTATGAGAAGCCTTTCTCAACTCCTTAATTAAATTAGGTGCTCCTGTTACATCCTCTAAATCAGTCCTTCAGAGCATTTCTCATAATATTTAAAAAGTTATTTTTGTATCTGTCTCCCCCACTGGACTGCGAACCCCATAAGTGCAAAGATAATCTGGCTCCTGGTCACAT